GGTGCAAGGAGCGCTGGTGGGGAGTGAGGGCGTAGGCAGTGCAGGGGCTCGGTGGGACCCCTGCTTCCCCGGCTGGTCCGAGGTGGAGCTCGCAGAGCCGGTATTTTCCTGTGCAGGTGGGGCAGTAGGGCGGGACCCATGTGGTGGGTGGGATCCCGGGTTGGCGGGGAGGGCTCCTGGAGCTTGTGACACACCTGGTGGAGCAGGGTCTCACGGGATGGCTCCGTGAGAGGCGCTTTGCCGCAGGGAAAAGTAGAGAAAGGGCAGTGGGAGCGTGGTCCTGGGTGCTCGGTGCTTGACCATTGCCAGTGGTGGTGGTACCCGCACATCTGATGGAGGAAGATGAGGAAGGGCTTGGGGAGGGGCGGATACTGGCGGAAGGGAGATCATTGGTTACTCAGCTATTTCATAAAACGACAGTAACGCGGTCACAACGTGCCCAGACCTGTCCTAATCACCCTGCATGAGTTACCTCACTGAGCCTTCACAAACAACCTGAACTGCTGTTATCTTCTCTTGTGGACGAGAGGACTGAGGCTCTGAGAAGGTACCAGAAGGCACATTGCTGAGACGGGCGGGCCAGAGCCTGAGGCTCTAAGCACTGAGCCATTCCCGGCCCTCCAGGTGTCGCTGTGCTCACCCCACCCCACCCGACCCGAGGGCTCCCAAGGCACACATGCCCCTAGCCTAGCTCCCATGGCACGCATGCCCCTAGCCTAGCGTCAGTGCCCCTGTCTCTGTGCTCACCCCACCCCACCCGGCCCCAGGGCTCCCATGGCACGCATGCCCCTAGCCTAGCGTCAGTGCCCCTGTCTCTGTGCTCACCCCACCCCACCCGGCCCAAGGGCTCCCATGGCACGCATGCCCCTAGCCTAGCTCCCATGGCACGCATGCCCCAGCCTAGTGTCAGTGCCCCTCTGTCTGTGCTCACCCCACCCCACCCGGCCCAAGGGCTCCCATGGCACGCATGCCCCTAGCCTAGCGTCAGTGCGCTTGTGCTAGGTTGTGGGGATACCGCAACGAACCAGACAGACACTGGTGCACTTCCCACCTGCCCTGGGGGTGTTTTGGGAGCTCCTGGTGGGCAGAGTCTGGTTGTCCCGGCCACATCCTCCGCTCCCTCCTTTCCTCTCTTCCTGCTCCCCCCCTCTCTGCCCCTAGGGAGAGAGGGGGGCTTCAACATTCAAAGGGCAAAGGTTGAGATGCTGGGGGCGGGGGGGGGGGAGGGCACAGCCCCACTGCGCCAAGGCTTGTGACTTACACGCGTGTCATTTCAGGGGGTGAAAGGAAGTCTCCTCAATGCTTCCTATTGAAAAGGGAGCACGGAGTCTGAGGGTTGGGAGAGGGCACCTGCTGAGGTTGTCCCAGGGAGCACCCCTCAGGCAGGGGTACAGAGGTGGCTTTGTCTGAAGGAGCAGGAGACCAGACTACCTTTGAGGTCATCACCTCAGCACGTATTGATGTCCCAGGACAGCAAAGCAAGAATTGATGGGGACACAAAAACAAAACCAAATAAACCAGCTCCACATCATTGGTGCAGGTAGACAGAATATGTTTTGAAAAATGCTTTATAAGTCAGTATATTGCAGAATGGGAAAACTTTTGGAGCAAAATAGAAAAAAAAATGATCTAGGTTTTAGATTTTTAAAAAATTTATTTGGAAGGCAGAGAAAGGGAGATATCTTCTGCCTCCTACAGCCTGGACTAGGCTAGGTTGAAAATAGGACCCAGAACTGGCTCTGGGTCTCCCATGTGGGTGGCAGGGACTGAACCGCTTGAGCCATCACTGCTGGCTTTCTTCCAGGGTGCACATTTAGCAGGAATCGGGAATCAGCAGCAGAAGCAGTACGCAAACCCAGGCACTCTGATCTGGGATGTAGGCATCCTACCAGTGTCTTAGCCACTGCACCAACTACATGCTCCTGATTTAGGTGTTTTGTTTGTTTTTAGAAAAAAAAATGTAGCTTTTAAATCTACTCCTTAAAAATAAGAACAGGAAACACACAACTTGTAAATGCTAATTTAAAAAGCAATCAGCAAATGTAGCGGTTTAGGTTTCCTGATGGAGAGTTAAAGGGGACAGACCTAGGGGCAGAGAGAGAGAGGGGGAGCAGGAAGAGAGGAAACGAGGGAGCGGAGGATGTGGCCAGCATTGTGAGGCAGAAGGTTAAGCCACTGCTTGCGACATTGGCATCACAATACCGCTTCTGATCCAGCTCCCTGCTAATGAGACTGGGAAAGCAGTGGATGATGATCTAAGTACTTGGGCCCCTGCCACCCACATGAGAAATCTGGATGGAGCTCCTGGCTCAAGGCTCTGAACTGGCCCAGCCCCAGCTGTTGCAACCATTTGGGGAGTGAAACAGTGGATGGCAGATCTGTCTCTCCCTCACTCTCTGTCGCTCAGAGTGACAGAGAGGAGACCTGGCTGCAACGGCCAGGTCTAGGCTGAAGCCAGGATTAGGAGCTTCTTCTGGGTCTCCCATGTGGGTGTAGGGATTCAAGCACTTGGGCCATCTGCTGCTGCTTCCCCAGGGCATTTAACAGGGAGCTGGATCAGAAGTGGAGCAGCCACGACTTTAACTGGCACCCATATGGGATGCCAGAGCTGCAGGCAATAACTTTACCTGCTACACTGGCCCCATAAAATAAATCTTAAAAAAGAAGAGAAGAGGAACAGGAGTCTTTCATCTTGGCTCCCACGTGGCACCCAACAGTTTAGGAACCATTCCTCATGTAATTGGCCTCAACCCCAGCACTCATAAGCTGCGTGACCTTGGACAAGTTACCTAAGCTGGTCTGGGCCTTGGCTTTCCTCAGGAAAGTGAGGACAATAGTTACACTTGCCTCATGGGGGTCATCTGTGCGTGTGAATGAGTTAATAGCACATGTTAATAATATACTTGGAAGTCTCAGAAACACCAAATGGAATTAGACATTAATTCCACATTCATTCCTTTAATAGTGATATGCTTAGCACACAGTGCTTTTTTTTTTAACAAAAATATTATTTGAAAGGCAGAGTTAGAAGGAGAGAGGCAGAGAGGTCTTCTATCAGCTGGCTCACTCTGCACTTGTCCATGACTGGGGCTGGGCCAGGCCGAAGTCAGGAGCCTGGAACTTGATCTGGGTCTCTCAAGTGGGTGAACAGGGGCCCAAGTATTCAGGCCATCTTCTGCTGGTTTCCCAGATGCATTAGCAGGAAACCAGCTCAGAAGTGGAGCAGCCGGGACTCAAACCCGCGATCATATGGGATGCCGGTATCACAGGCATTGGCTTACCCGGCTGCGCCACAAAGCCGGCGGCACAGTGAGTGCTTAATGAGCTGTTTGAAAATGAACAAACCACATTTAGCCCTGGCAGTAGCCCCTGTCAAGCAGGTAACTCCCTTCTCTCAGCAAGGCAGAGAACCTGTGTATAGAGTCTGCTGGCTTGGAGCCTGGATGGGGTTTGACAGAGGCGGCACCCTGCCAGGGAAACTTCTAGACTTGGCACAAGAGGCAGATGCTTTTGTACCCACATCTTGCTCAATCTCTGTGGTGTCCAGCCTGGGAAGATTGCGCAGGTTATGGTACCCGGCTGTTGAGTGGCCTGTGGGGAACTGGTGGCCTCCCAGGAGCTGTTGCTGCAGTAACTGCTGCATGCACGCCCTTCCCGACGGTCTCTAGAAACGTGCGTGTGTGTATGTGTGTGTGTGTGTGCTGCTCACCAGGGGCAGATGGGGAGAGCCTCCTTATCCTGCCTGCACGTCTCTGTACGAAGCCCTGTCCTCCAAAGGAGCAATCAGGAGGGCCTCTTCTGGGGGAAGCACAGCCAGCCCCAGTTTCTCACGGGGATGGCCAAGACTGCCTTACTACCATCTGCAGAAAGGAGGCGGCCTTCTCAACTGGGTTTAGCACATACACGGGTATGTGGAAAACCAGAATGAAAAAGTATGAGGGGCTGGGGCCAGCGCTGTGGTGCAGGGTAATCCCAGCTAGGACAGAGCATGGGGGAACTGGGGCGGGCGTTCTGCTCCCCGCTGTCTGCCCGAACAACCCTGTTTGGCCAGTCTTAAGAACATGCCAATTCTGCAGTTCACTCGGGATGGTAAATTAAACAGGTGTGTGGCATCTGTTCTTCAAGCCATGATTCTATATTGCGGAGCTTTCCTGTGTCATCCCTTGCTGGGCACACGACCACTGTTCTGTGCAACTCCTGTTTTTTTCTAATACTCTAGATTTCGGCTCTCAACAGTTGTCTGCCTTTGCTACGCGGGGCCAGCACTTGACCTTGTTGGATCCTGCCCTAGGGTAAGCATTTCAGTTCTCCAGCGCTGTGCCCCTATTCTGAGCTGCTGGGAGTTTCTACCAGTGGCTGAGCTCTAACTCAAATGCCACTGGTTGCACTGACGGCTTAGTGACTAGGGATGATTCCCAAAGAGCAGGCGCGAAGCTCTGACTTCCCTCACTGACTGTGTACCTCACTCAGCCCGCTGCACAGGAGAAAGGTGGGGGACTCTCTGACAATACCTTTCTGGGCATACAATTAGGTGGAACCACCAGAGAAGTGACACACATGCTTTTTCCCTCTAAGCCAAAGTTTTGGGACCGAGACAGGGCCCAGGAATGAACTGGCTCCACCTGCACTGGCAATCAGAGCCGACACATCCCATTGGTAAAGCGGAAGCCTTGCTTCCTGTTAACTTGTATCACCATCTCAGCACGTTCTCTGGGGGCTGGCTCTGGCCCAAGAGCAAAAGCAGGACCCCGCTGCTGGAGTTCTCACCCAGGAAGTTGTTCAGAAATGTGGCCTTCCGGGTCCCATCACGTCTGCTCAGGGGACAAATTCCATTGCTTCGAGACCCTGAATTCAACTCATGACCAATAAGGTCCATTCACTTGTCTTGCACCCTGGGTGCCGAGGTGAGGCTAAACAGATGAACTGGTTCCCACCTCTGGTGTCTCAGTTCTCACCTCCCCTCGCCACTGAGCACACCACTTAGGATTCCATCCTTCTGCTAAGTGTTTCAAATGGTTTTTATTGCCCATTCCACTTGGCTAGCTACCAGGTTTGTTTTCAGTCTCCCTTTTGGTCCGGTTACTCATTTCCCTGTCTGTGCCTGCAAGCTTTTCCCTGCTCTTTCCCACTGCACAGAACTGGTAGCCGCCTGGGGAATGGGAGCGGAGCCCGTCAGTCTTCATCGGAGTCACTGGGGCCCATGTACTGGCACACGGCGTCATAATGCAGCTCCACCAGCTGATCATCTCTGTGCAGCTGTACCAAAGCCCTGCTTCGCGCTGTGTCACGGCGCAGCAGCTGGCCTACCTGGAGCAAGGGTGGACCAGAGTTAGCAAGGCCAGCCCAGCCCCCTTAGGACATCCCCTGGTGAACCCCAATCCCCCATCTCCACGTCTGGCACTCACCCTTCCGGCCTGTGGTCCCAGCACCACCATCACGCGTTCACCTTCTGTCTTGGGAACCAGTGTCTCCAACATGTCCTCCTTTACACCTGCAGATGAGCAAGAGGGGTGGTGAGACCTACAGCCCAGCCAGGGTCTGGTTGTGGGGCCTTTGCTGTATTCCCTCGAACCACATTCCACGCATTTCAAAGATGAAGAAAACTAAGCAGCCGTTCATACAGCTAACTGAGATGGAGCCAGTGCTGTGGTACAGTGTGTCAAGCCACTGCCTGCAATACTGCCATCCCATATGAGTGTAGGTTTGAGTCCTGGCTGCACCACTTCTGATCCAGTTCCCCGCTCCTGTTCCTGGAAAGGCAGTAGAGGATGGCCCAAGTGCTTGAGCCCTTCCATCCACATGGGAGACCTGGATGGAGCTCCAGGCTGCTTGCTTTGTCCTGGCCCAGCCCTGGCCATCTGGAGACAGAAGCATTGGATGGAAGATCTCTCTCTTCTCTCTCTCTCTCTCTCTGTCTCTAACTCTACCTTTCAAAAATAAGTAAGTCTTTAAAAAAAAATAGAAAAGAGGGGCCGGCACCATGGCACAGGTTAATCCTCCGCCTGCAGCACCGGCGGCATCCCATATGGGTGTCAGTTCTAGTCCCAGTTGCTCCTCTTCCAATCCAGCTCTCTGCTGTGGCCTGGGAAAGCAGTAGAAGATGGCCCAAGTCCTTGGGCCCCTGCACCCATATGGGAGACCTGGAAGAAGGTCCTGGCTCCTGGCTTCGGATTGGTACTGCTCCAGTGGTTGCAGCCATTTGGGGAGTGAACCAATGGAAGGAAGACCTTTCTCTCTGTCTCTTCCTCTCACTATCTGTAACTACCTCTCAAACAAATAAAATCTTCTTAAAAAAACAGAAAAGAAATAACTGTGATGGAGGGAGCAGTGGTGGTAACAGACACTACTACTTACTGTGGACAAGCTGCAGGCCCTGCCTTTACCAGGAGCTCAACACACAACTAGCACCCTGTGCTCCCCTCCTCAACCCCTTGCCTTAAAGGCGCCCGTCACGAGTCACAAGCAGGAGAAATGGTGACACCATGCTAAGTGGACAGTCAGGGGGAGTGGGGCTCAGGTAAGGACCATCACGGAAGGGTCTCATGTTCTGTAAGAGCATGCTGGTTCCTGCAAGGAATGTGGACTCTGCCCCGCCTCCCAGCTGCAGCTCAGCCTCACCTTCTAACACTCGGCCTTCATCAGTTCGACATACACAGGTGTCTGGGCTCAGGAGATCTTCAATCGTCATCTAGGGAGAGGGGCCGGGGGATGGGAGATGTTAGAGGCTTAAGGAGGCCCACTCCCTGGGGGAGGGAGGTGAGCCCTGCTGCAGGGTGTGCACCTTGGTGTTGTAGTACTGGCCATTCTTGTAGAGCTTGTTCACAAAGCGTACGCGCAGGTCTCTGTGTATCCAGTGTGGACTTCTGGAAGCTGTCTTCTCGCTTTTGGCCACAGGCCCTTCTTGTCTGTGGAGAGGGAGCCAGCACCAGGCTCAGGTCATCATCACATGCCCATTCCAGTCTCCCTACCTTTGCCGCTGCTGGGAAACCCACCCATTGGGTCAATCCTAGTTCCTTCCATGGACTGCCTCCCCTCGACGGCCCGAGCTCACCCACATGCCTGCCCTCATCCCTCGTCCCTCGGCCCACAGTCTCACTGGTCTACGGGGTGTTTCCGCTTCCTCGTTGAGTCCAGATGGGCATGGGCACCCTGATCTTGGAGGGTCTTCTGTGACAAGGCTGGGTCGGTCGGTCGCCCCGTGGGAGTTGTGTTCTCCTGATCTGTAGAAGGGTGCATGGCGGGAAAGAGGAACGGGCCTCAGTGTCTCACTGGCCCTGCTGCCTGAAGCCGTGCCTGAGCCCAGGGCCCTCTGCTGCCTCCCAAAGCACCCCTCGTCATCATGACACCTTTACCACAGCTACTACAATGCTTCTGCCCTTACTCTGCATCATCTCAGCCTCCTTCAGGAAGCCCTTTCCCGACCACCCAGCTCACACGGACACTGCAGCCACCGCGCATAGCCCGCAGGGGCCCAGAGAACCGTCTGCATCCACCTGCCACAGCATCTTGTCCCACTGAAGTGCCTGCCCCTGGGCTGCTCTGCCTGCCTCCTGCTTGGCCACACCCTAATCCTAGTGCCTGTCACTCCCTAGAGCAAAAGAAGGGCTCAGCACCCCAAAAAATCCCACCTGTTTCTTTTCCTTCTGAGAAAGGCTAAAAACCCAGGGATACTAGATCGACTTTTTTTTTTCTTCCCCCACTGAAATAAACCACTCAGATCTCTTTTTGCCTCCTGACCTCTGGCAGGAAATCCCAGCCACCAGGCAGATGGCTACCCTCCCCTCTGCAGATGGAAAACCCATTGCAAGACACAGGCCCTGCCCCTCCTGCCCCAGAGCACTTCTCCCTTCTCTGCCTCCCCTCCGGGGATTCAGGAGGCCCACTCACTGAGATCCATGGAGTTCTCATCATGCTCCTGCTGGGAGACAGGGCGCAGGCAGTACTCACTAACAGTCACCACAGAGTTCTCCCCTGTCAGACGCACCATGGCCCGAGCATTGTCAGGGTCAAGGCCTTCAACCTACCACGTCAAGAGGAAGAAGTTAGCGAGGTTAAGTGGACTCCACCCACATTCCTAGGACCAAGCTGTCCATCTCTTACCTCCAACACACCTGACCCCTGTTTCACCCACCGACTTGTGACCCCCTAAAAGCTGGGACCGGGTCTGGTTCTTGGGTGGGGTACAGACATTTTTTATGTATTTAATCCTCAGAGACTCGTGATGATTGCTATTCACTCCTTTTTTCATTTTTAAAAAAAGATTATTTGGAAGAGAGAGAGAGAGAGAGGAGAAGACAGATTTTCCACCCACTGGTTCACTCCCCAAATGGCTGCAATGACCAGGGTTGGGCCAGGCTGAAGCCAGGAGCCAGCAGCTTCATCAGGTCCCCCACGTGGGTACAGGGGCCCAAGGTCTTGGGGCACCTTCTGCTGCTTTCCTAGGCACATTAGCAGGGAGCTAGATGGGAAATGGAGCAGCTAGGACTGGAACTGGTGCCCTTATGGGATGCCAATGCTGCATGCCAGGGCTTTAACACCCAGTGCTACAGCCCGAATCTTCCCCCCCCCTTTTTTTTAAGATTTATTTATTTATTTGAAAGTTAGAGTTGCACATAAAGAAGGACAAGAAGAGAGAGAAAGAAAGAGAGAGAGAGAGAGAGAAGTCTTCCATCTGCTGGTTCACTCCCCATTTGGCCACAACAGCCAAAGCTGCCCTGAGCCGAAGCCAGGAGCCAGGAGCTTCCTCCAGGTCTCCCACGCGGGTACAGGGGCCCAAGGACTTGAGCCATTTTCCACTGCTTTCCCAGGTCATAGCAGAGAACGTGATCAGAAGTGGAGCATCCAGGCCTCGAACCAATGGCCATATGAGATGCTGGCACTGCAGGTGGCGGCTTTACCCACTATGCCACAGGGCCAGCCCCCTAACTCCCTTTTGTAAATTAGCTTTTTAATTTATTTGAAAGACAGAGAGCTATCCCATTTGCTGGTTAACTTTCCAAATGCCCACAACAGTTGGAGCTGGGGGCCAGGTCAAAGCCAAGAGCTGGGAACTCAATCCGGTGCTTCCACATGGGAGCAGGGCCCCAGGTAACTGAGCCATTAGCTGCCACTCGCCAGGGTGGGCACCAGCAGGAAGCTGGAATCAGGAATGGAGCCAAGCCTCAAACCCAGGCACTTCCATATGGGCATGCCAAGTGGCGTCTTAATTACTGCACCAAACACCTGCCCTGCTCCCTTTTCATTGGCACCTGAAGCTCAGAAAAACCTAGCAAGTGGCCCTGCCGTGTTACCTAGTGAAGCAGTGTGCCAGGCAGGCCTAAAAGACCTGGACTTCCAGCCCTTTTACCCCAAACCCGATGCTTCCTGCCTCCGACCCTCAAATCCATCTTCCTTGGTCTCCAGGGACACCCTGGCTCCTTACCTTCCCGTAGCGGCCTCGGTAATGGCCAGAAACGACCGTCACAGCTGTCCCCGTCTTCAGCCCTTCGGGCTGCCTTGTCGTATCCTGCCCGTCATCCTGATCTTGGTCCACATTTGTTCTTGGAAGGCAGCTGGAACTGGTGGAGGTCAAGGCCTTCATCTCAGCCAGGTTGGCGCCCAGCCCTAACCCCTTGGGCCTCAATGAGTTGACACGGGGCTTCACTATTCTGCGTGAAGGAATATGGATTTACTGGGGACGGGATACAAGCACCTTCAGTGGCTTCCTCTCTCCCCTGCTAAATCCTACCCCATCGAATGTTCAAGAATGCCCTTTCCAATCTCTCACTTCGGATTGTTTTGGACCTACAGAAATGGAACTTCATTTGTTTCAACTTAACACCATGCTGCATACACTACATATTATACAGTATCTACGGTGGCATCTGAGGCAGGCCCTCATAACCAAGCATTTCCTTGTAACCTTCTATTTCCACAGCAGAAATCATATGCCCGGTCAGGCCAGACAGGAGAAACAGGCTATAAGAACGCTCAATGCCAATGCAGATCATGTTCGGCTGCCACATGGTTTGTGAAAAATTGTCTGCTTTTCGAAATTCATTGGAGTTTCCAATTGTGGAGAAGGGATTGTAAGTCCGTGTGATAAAAGCAGATACTTAGCCTGTGCTTACTTGGGGTGGGGGCCTATTCAATGTGCTTTATGGGTATCATCTCATCAAACTCTCACGAGAGGCCTGTGAAGTCCATCCTGTTACCCCCACTTTTCAAATGAGGAATTGGAAACAGGAGTGGAAGAGGCTACTGAATTAGGGGAATAATGTATCCTCTCTCCCTGCCTGAAGGGTTCTGGGTTGGCAGTCACCATGGGGTGGTGGCGGCAGGGGGCGGGGGGGGGCGCTTGTTCACAGCTCCATCCGTCCACCCCGTCACCCTTAGCCCAAAACTCACTGACTGAAAGTGCGTCCAATGCCATCACCAGGTTTCCAGCCCATACCCCGCAGCATGGCCAGTCCATAGGCCTCCACAGAGACTGCCTCATAATCAGCTTCTTTTGGTACCTAATGGGTTCAGGAAGAGGAAGGAGCGTCAGATTTTGCAAACACTGGCTTTCTATGCGTGTGAGTATGTGCATCTGAGAGGCAGACGCGCGCGTGCACATGCACACACACACAGAGAGAGAGAGAGAGAGAGAGAGAGAAAGAGTATGAGAGCTCCCAGCTGCAACTAGGCTGGGCTGAAGCCAGGAGCCAGGAAATCAACCCACTTGATAGGCAAGAACCCAACTACCCAACTACTTGGGCCATCACCACAGCCTTCCGGGGTGCACCTGAGCAGAAAGCTCTGGAATCAGGAGACAGAGCTGGGTTTGGAACTCAGGCACTCCCACGTGGGACATGAGGATGCAGAGGGATTGCTAGAGTTGACACTGACACAGAGACCAGGAGATGACAGGGGGAGCCATGAGGAGATGAGAAGGAAAGAGTGTTGTGAGCAGAGAGGACAGTAAGAGCAAAGGCTCTGAGGCCAAACAAAACTCGGTGTGTGTGAAGAGTATTATGAAAATCAACATGACTGGAACAGGGACATGGGGGCAGAGGAGCATGGGTAAGGGGTCAATCAGGAGAGCTGGGTGCAGGAGGCAGACAACCTGCAGGCAGGTGGAGGTCACATGAGGGGCCAGCGAGAAAGTCACTGCAGTCGTCCAGATGTGCGGTGCTGGTGGTGATGAGAAGTGAAATTCTGGATGCATTTAGAAAAAAGGCAAAGACGGCGTTGACAGATCATACGTGGGGGTATGACAGAGAGAGGGAGGGGCAAAGATGACGGCAAGGTTTGGAGCTGAGGGAGAGGAAGGACTATGGAAGTGTGATCAATTGACAGGTGGAAGGCTGCTGGAGGGGGCTTGTCAGAGGGAAAATGAGAAACAAGGCCAGAGCTGGAACAGGATGAAGAGTAAATGGAGGGTCTTTGTTTGTTTTTTAATGAAAGACACCAGAGCACAAATGAAGGTGGATGAGTTCACTTCTAATCACCCCAGTTAAAGCCAGGATGGTCGATGCTCTGTGGCCATAGGAGAAGTAGGCCCTGAGGAAGCAGTGCAAAATACTTATGAATGAACAGGTGAGAAGTCGAGTCCAAGATATGGACAGACTTGCTTACTTCCATGGCCCTGCCGCTACCCTTTCCTGTGGTCGCTTCCCGTCGTTACTCCTTCAATCCTTTCATTCACTCATTCCAGACACACAAGTTGTCTCACTAACAGACACACCACACAGCCTTCCTGCCATGGCCTGCTCGGGCAGCTGCTACCATTAGGAATACTCACCCTGCTCTTGCCTCTCTCGCTAAACCCTACCTCGCCTTCTCTCACGCCACTTGGATCTGAGTCCTTACCATCTCTGGTCTAGACTGCTGGGCTCCCTGCTTCTACCTTCACTTACTAGTCTGTTGTGTTCACAGTAGATTCTGTTGAATCATAAGTCGCATCCTTTCTCTGCCTAGGGCCCACCCATGGCTATCATTTCATTCAGGGTAAAAGCCAAAGTTCTCATCATGACCCACAAAGCCCTGCCTGGTCTCGCCGCACCCCCTCCACTGCCACCTGACTTCTCTTACTAATTCCAGTCCAGCCGCGTTGGTCTCCTTGGTGTTTGTCAAACACTCCAGGCAGTGTCCACCCTCATGGCTATTATATTTCCTCTTCCCTCTGCCTCTCACCCCATTCAGACAATCCTAGGATCCAACTTCATATTCCAATATCTGGATTCATGTGTTAATGTTCCCAAAAAGGCTGGAAGGAGGAAGAGCTAGGCAGTAGGCCTCCAGTGTACACACAGACTTTCTTTGCTGTGTGTAAGAAGGCATGCATGGCAGACAGGGCAAGGAGAAACCAAGGGAGCAAGGGGGTAAGGGGCCAACTCACAGTTTCAGCTGAGTGTTCGCTGTCTACCCCTTCCTTGTTGGAGGTGTATCCTTTCTGGATCATGGGGATAGTGAGCATGGAGTCGGCATTTGCATTCTTTCTTTCTTCCAGGGACTTCTCGGTTTCTAAGGAAGAATGGGAGGGAGCAATGAGGTCCCACCCCATGTATCTTCCACCTTCTTCCTTGTCTTTCTTCACTGGAGCAGGGTGGGGAGAGGGGGCCCACTTACCCTCAATCAGTTCCTTCACAGCCTGGGACAGCACCTCATCCATCAAGGTCTTGGTGTCTGTGGATAGCCCAGAGGGCTGGACCAGGGGCTGCCTGTGATAGCCATTCTGAATCAAGGGAATGACAGGTTCCTTGGGGACCTCTGAGGGCTTCACACTGATGTGGACAAAGAAAGGTAAGGTGAGGAGAGAAGCAGGGTCCGTGGGTTCCAGCTACACCCCCCCTATGCAGAGAAACACAAGAGCCAAGCCCCCTCCTAGCTCCATGGACCATGCCTCTGATTGCACGTCATTGTCCCTCCAGCCCTTAAATGACAGTATCTTCCAGGAATCATTGCCAGGCCGTCTGTTCATCCCAAGAACTACAGATGACCATTTGCAGCCAGACTCTTCCCAGCTCCAGAACAGCCTCCTAGGCGGTTGCTTCTCTTCTGCGAGTCCCTCCCTCAGGCACTTCAGCCTCTTCTTTCCTAAAGATGCTGATGCGGCCTCCCTCAACCTGAATCTGCAGCTCCATCTCGTTCCCCGTATTAGAGTCGCCCCCATTCACTTTAGCTGAGACAACAGGGTCCTGTAATTATTCCCTCTTTCCCACTTATCTGAACGCACACACCAGAGTGTCCCAGCATCATAAAGGTATTCCCTGTCATGAATGTGAGGGCATTTCAAAAAGTCCATGGAAATGAATACTGAAATAATGCGCATTTCCCACGAACTTTCTGAAGTATCCTTATACATCTTCTCAGTCCACACGGCCATGAAAAGCAACTTCCCTACTTCTCCCACAAGCTCCTGCCTTCTCTCCTCCACGGATTTCCTGAGGCCGTGGTTCAGGCTTTCCAGGCCACTGTCATCAAAGCAAACTACTCGAGTCCTCCCGCTCGCACCCACGGCACCGATTTACAAGGGGCGAAAGACCCGGCGCTTCACCTTTGTAGCTGCCTCCCTTCCACGGTCTTCAAGAAATCCTTCTCCTCTGGGGCGGACTCTGCGCCATCACTTAGGGCCACCAGCCGCCTCCGAGAGGACGTACGAGTAAAGGCGAATGAAATTGGGGCAGTAGAAGGTGCAGTCGGCTGCAAAACACCATCTTCGGCGTCTGCCATCTTGCCCCAGTTCCCAGGCTGGTGCGCTGCTTGCTGGGAAGTTTAGTTTGGGTTCAATTCGCTAGCGGCAGTCAGACAAGCGCAAGAACTACATTTCCCAAAAAGCATTGCGGCGTCGGCCGACGAAACCAAACAACTAGCCGTAGGAAGTTATTGTAGCGCGTCTGAATTTCACAGGAATGCGCCTGCGCCAAGTATACCGGGAACTGTAGTTCCGCCAAGAGGCGGTAGCGGTAGAAGGTAGATTCCTTCTTCCCAGGAGTTCGTTTCTTCTTGTTTTAGAGAATGGTCTTGAAAACAGGTATTCCATTATTCTAACAATCTCATGGCTATGTTTCCAGTTTAGAAACCCTGGGCATCTTGGGATGGGCCCTGAACTCCCAAAGGAACAGCTACAGTAACTTTCAAAACAGAGCAATAAATTTTTAAAAAATCTTTATTCAGCAATACTTTTAGACTTACATGTCGCGAAGTAATACTGTTCTTTTTTTTTAAAAAAAGATTTATTTATTTGAAAGTCAGAGTTACACAGAGAGAGGAGAGGCAGAGAGAGAGAGAGAGAGAGAGAGAGAGAGAGGTCTTCCATCCAATTGTTCACTCCCCAGATGGCCACAATGGCCAGAGCTGTGCCGATCCGAAGCCAGGAGCCAGGAGCCTCTTCCCAGTCTCCCACGTGGGTGCAGGGACCCAAGGACTTGGGCCATCTTCTACTGCTTTCCCGGGCCATACCAGAGAGCTACACAGGAAGTGGAGCAGCCAGGTCTCGAACCGGTGCTCATATGGGATGCCGGCACTTCAGGCCAGGGCGTTAACCCACTGCACCACAGTGCCAGCCCCAAGTAGTGTTCTTTTATATCTTTTATCCAGATACTCTTAAGCTTTTTATATAACAATAGTATAATTATCAAAATCAGAATGATGCAATACTATTAGCTGTAGACAATTTTCTGTTCCAGAATTCAGAATTAAACCTAAGATCACATATTGCAATATAATTGCAATGCCTCCTTTCTCTTCTTCAGTCTTGTGGCAGCTTCTCAGTCTTTCTTGACTTCTAACTCTTGCAAAGTACAGTTCATTTTTTTGTAGAACCTTCCTCAGATAGGTTTGTCTGATGATTTCTCATTGTTGGACTGAGGTTATGAATGTTTGGCAAAAAATGATGCAGAAATGATGTGCCCTTCTAACTATATCATACTAGGGGATTTGTGATGTTGATATGTCTTATTACAAATGAAGTGAGCATGGATCACATGGTGCTATAGTTTGAATATTTATCTCTCTTCACTCAGGAGTTTAGTCCTGAAAGGATTTTTTTAATGATGTATTTATTTGTTTTTAAAAGGATTTATTTATTTTTTAAATTTTTTTTTTTACAGTGAGACAGGGAGAATCAGAGAGAGCTCTTCCATCTGCTGATTGACTCCCCAGATGGTCTCAATGGCTGGGGTTGGGCCAGGCTGAAGCCAGGAGGCTGGAACTCCATCTGGGCCTCCCATGTTGGTGGCAGGGGCATAAGCACTCAGACTATCCTTGGCTGCTTTCTCAGGAGCATTAGCAGGGAGCTAGACTGCAGGTAGAGCAGCTGGGACTGGAACAGGCACCCATATGGGATGCTGATGCTGCAGGCAGTGACTTAACAAGGCCATGATGCCAGCTCCAAGTCCTGAAAGACTTATGCTAATGGTTCTGAGTGGGTGGAAACAGTACCATTATGGTTTTTCCAGGTGAGGCTTTTGGGAAACGATTACACTGCATGAGGTCATTTGAGATGGAGCCTCCATGACTAAATCCTGATGGCTTTATGAGAATAGAGACACAGAGTAGTTTACTTCCTTTCTCTCTTGCCATGCGATGCCCTGTGCTACCTTGGGACTCAGCCAGCAAGAAGGCCATCACTAGGGGCTGAACCAACAGGGCCTGCATGATCATAGACTGTGACCCTCCAGAGTTATAAGCCAAAGTAAATCTCTTTTCTTTATAAAGTTAAGCTGTCTTGGGTATATACTTATAGTTATGAAAAGCTGACTAATACACTTGGTTAAGGTAGAGCCTGCCCGTTTTCTCCACTGCTGTATTGCCTGCAGGGCAAACTGTCCATGGCTGAAATGATACCCATTTCTTGAGGCAGCCATATGAGGCAGTGTGCACAATACAGGTTTTACTCAGGTCAGGGCCACAGGTGCCTGAGAGTCTTACCTTTACAGCTGATTCACACCTGGTCTCTAATCACTCCTAACAGGTACCAATGAGATCATGTCAGCCTACTCTGGTCCTGATACAAAACTGTGTAGTGAAAATATAAGGGGAGGAAAGACATTTTTTCTGTCTTTCCTTAATCCTGAATACAAAATCAGGAGTAACAAACATTGAAAAGTGTTTGCTTGCCATACAGTTAAGAAAGATTATATTCAAGTTTTTTTTAAAAGATTTATTTATTTATTTGAAAGGCAAGAGTTAGAAAGAGGGAGAGAGACATAGAGAATCCTCCATATGCTGGTTCACTTCCCAAATGGCTGCAATGGCTGGGGTCCAGCCAGGCCACAGCCAGGAGCTTCATATGGGTTGCCCACATGGGTGCAGGGGCCCAAGAACTTGGGCCATCTTTCATTGCTTCTCAACTGCATTAGCAGGGAGCTGGATCCCCAGTGGAGCAGCTGGGACTTAGCACCCATGTGGGATGCTGGCATGGTAGGAGGTATCTTAACCCTTTACACCACAGCACCAGCCCCTGTATTCAAGTTTTGCAAAATTAACCATTTATTGTGTTGTTCATTCAGTAACCATTGAGTACCTGTTCTGTTGCAGTACCTTGCCCCCAAGGTAACCATATGGGATACTGGAAATGCCAGGGGTTACACGTATGATTAAGAATGCACACATACAGTGGTTGAGGAGGCAGAAAGGAGATTAATTGTGCCCAGAACTACTTCTGGTAGTGGGAGGGGTGCTGAAAACTGAACAGGTGTTCTGGTAGATGGCAGGAAACGAAGCAAGATTGATATGTAGGGACTGGATCATGGATGGCAGGGAATTGGAGGCTTAGGAATTTTTTTTAATTTGTTTATTTATTGGAAAGAAAAGAGAGGGGCCAGCGGTGGCATAGCAGGTAAAGCCACCGCCTGCAGGGCTGGCATCCCACATAGGCACCGGTTTGAGACCTGGTTTACTCTCCAAGTGGCTACAACAGCCAGTGCTGGTCCAGGCTGAAACCAGAAGCCTGGAACTCCACCCAGGTTTCCCATGTGGGTTTGGGGCCCAAGCACTTGGGCCATTCTCAGCTGCTTTCCCAGGCACATGGATCGGAAGTGGAGCTGCCAGGACTCGAACTGGCAGCCATATGGGATGCCAGCATTGTAAGCAGTGGCTTTATCCACTGTGCCACAAGAGCGGCCTCTGTTTCTGATTCTTAAAATAGAAGGGTACTTCAAAAAGTTCGTGGAAATGCATATTATGAACAAACTATGCATAGATTTCTAAATTTCCATACCCCAAGTCAATTTATCTTTACATTCCCATATGAACTGTTGGAAGTACCCTCATATATTACTTTTACATTTGAGTAGTTCATTTTCACAAAGAGATTGGATGAGATACCCAAGGTGATGAAGCTGGTCACAGCGGAGTCAGATTTGAATCCGGGTTGCCTAGCTCCAGAGTTTAGCATCTTACCAAATTGTGAATACTGCCTCAGGGCTTCTGCTGGATTCTCAGCTTGGCTCTGTTCACTGCTCTCCACCTCCCACTATACTCCACCAACCTTATTGCCCTCCAGTAGCCTCCCCAAGGTTTAATAAAGCCATCTCCAGCACCATGGACCGATCACAGATCCCACAAAGACCCCAGGTTTTCACGCCTTACTGTATTTACCATGGGATGACCTCTTCAGGGGAGGCAGGGGGGTCTTGGGGCAGATGAGTGTCCTCCTTATTGTTGTCTTCAGGGTCTTCCATAATACTGACTAGGGAGTGGAGGCAATGAGAAAGCCATTAGAGATTCTTCATGGAAACTTCCTAGGCCTTGCCCCAAGTTAACATTCTAGCCCCCAGCTCTTTGAATTCATATTCTGGCCTCTGCAACTATGTAACTGTTGCCACAGTTCTTCAAATAACCATTTTTTTTTAAATTTAAACTTTCTTGATTTGAAATGCAGTGACAGAATGAGAGAGACAGATCTTCCATTTCCTGGTTCACTTCAGAAATGGCCTGCAACAGCCAAGGCCGGCCCAGGAGGAAGCCTGGAACCTGGAACTCCATCTGGATTTCCTATGTGGCTGACAGGGGACCAAATAATTGGGCCATGTTCCTCTGTTTTCCCAGGCGCATCACCAGGGAGCTGGATCAGAAGCAACACAGCCAGGACTCAAATCCTTGCTCTGATTTGGGATGCTGGAGTAACAACGCAGGGCTCAAGGCTCCGCCTTAAATAAAAATGATCCTGGGGGTGGTGGTGGTGTTGTAGTGGGTTAATCCACACCCTGCTACTCTGGCATCCCAGAGGGGCGCCCATTGGAGTCCCAGCTGCACCATTTCCAATCCAGCTCCCTACTAATGTGCCTGGGAGACAGCAGAGGATGGCCCAAGTCCCTGGGCCTGTGAATCCGCTTGGGACACCTGGAGGAAGCTCTTGGTTCCTGGCTTCAGCTTGGCCCAGCCCTGGCCATTGTGGCCATTTGGGGAGTGAACCAGCAGATGGAAGACCTCTCTCTCTGTCTCTCTGTAACTGCAGAAAGAAAGGAAAGCAAGGAAGGAGGCAGGCAGCACTGTGAGGTGTGCATGGAGTCTCAAACGTCATACTACTGAGGGTCAACATTAAAAAAAAAATCCTGGGCCCGGATAATTGAATAATCCCTGACACCTTCCTTCTGCCTGCTACTAACACACAGACCCCCGCCCCTCAAATAACACCTTTAGCTCCACCCTGGAGGGTGCTGCTCCAGGACTGGGCTCCTCAAACTTCCAGGCCCCGCCTCTGAACTACCAACCATTCCAGGCCCGCCCCTCCTCTGAGGACCCGCCCTAAGCACTCTCTAGACCCCGCCTCCTCAGAAAAGACATGCCAAGCCCTGATGACCAGAAAAAACATCTAGCCGCCCACCCAAAACTAATTTAGCACTCGCCTCCTGCGGTAACCTTTAAAGAAGATTAGAGGATGACCCCAAGGCCCCGCCGCTGACCGCACTCTCTGGGTCCCCGCCTCCACTGAAACACACCTATTGGCCACGCCCAAGTGCGTCATTAATGGCTTTAAGACACCGCCTCAGAACGCAGCTGCTTTCCGGCCCCGCCCCTTTAGGCCCCTTCCCCTACACGTAGTCCCCCCCCCCCACCATTGAGACGCATGCGCAGTGTGGTACAGGTCCTGCACACCGGGTATCACCTGTTGACAGCAGCTTCTGCCACCAGGGTTCGCGCGTCCGGCGGATCCCAGAGTTGTCGAGAGCCGGGAGCTGCGGGTAGGGGAAAGCTGCGGCCTGCAGGGGGGAAAGGGGGACAGGTCAGCGCCGACCCCCAGCCTCGACGACCCATCACGCTTCCAGACGTCCCAAGACCTCGAAATGCCCCTTAAGATACCCAGAGACACCCACCGCGCTCACTCCCTTGATAGTGCAGAAAGTCACCGAATGCCCTCCCCCCCCCAACCCCCGAGCACGGCGGGTCAGCCCGCGGATCCCCGCCTGCCCTCGTCGCGTCCGTGGACCGTGGACCGAGCCACTGCATTGTATTCGTCCTGGGTGTCTCCGAGCATCCTAGGAATTTCTCTGGAGCTCCCCGACTGCCTCTCCCGACCCTGGATGCCACATTCCTCCCCCCCGCCCCCCGTTTCTCCCGGGGGTCCCCCGTTCGCCCCGATTTCCCGAGAAAACACGGCCTCCGCCTTATAGCCCTGGCACCCCGGCCTCCCTCTAAATAGCCTAGACAAGCCCTGTGGGCTGCCTGAGTGCCCTCTCTCAGAGGTCCCGTTTCCCCACATGGCCCAGGCACCTCCAGGGTCCCCCTGCACAGATGTCCAGAGGCCCCCAGCTCCGCCTCCCGATTCACCATGGACTCTGAGTGCCCAGGTGTCCTAGTGACCACAGACGGGCAGACGCCTCCCCGCTCCTCGGTCGCTCCCGCACTTCTGAGAGCGCCCCTCCCCTCCCCTCCCATGGTCTGGTGTATCGCCCCTTGGCTGGGGTGCAGGCACGGGTGTGGGTAGGGGGGCCCTGGGTCCCAGTCTCTGTCGCTCGGTCCCTGCCCGCTGCCACTGCCGCTTGGGTGCCAGAGCTGCAGTGTTTACCACCTGTCACAAGGAAAGGGTGTGGAGCAGACAAGGCAGGGCCTGGGTGGCCGGAGACCTGCAGCTTCTCCCTGCCTCTTCACTGCTCCACGCCCCCAGTGTCAGTGGTGCCCCTGTGCCCCCGTGGCTCCAAGCCCAGTAGTCATCCTGGTGGACTTAGGGTCACCAGATATGTGTTTTGGTCATCTGGTCATGCCTACCTGGCAGTCTGCCCAGGTCTGGACATGGCTGAGGCTGGCCTGTCCTTGTCCCATGGTCCCAATCGCAGGGTGACCTACCTGGCAACAAACAAGGAGGCCCGGTTCTGGGAGTCAGCCAGAGCTTTTGGCATAGCTCTCCCTCAAGTGTTGCTCTGTTAACTGACCACACTGGGTTAGGCTTCTCTCTTTCCACCCAAGGGATGTTGTCATTCCAAACATCTGAGACCCAAGGAGTTAGGGTACAATTGGAGCTCTGACAGCTAAAAAACAAAACAAAACAAAACAAAACAAAACAAAAACCAGCTAGAAACTGGAGCCCAAGACTCCCAGAGAATTCTGCAAACTCCCAACTCAACTTTGTGTATATCTAGTAGGCATTCAGTAAGTTTGCCCAGGACAGTCCTTATCAGGTACAAACATAGAAATGAATGGTGGAGGGGCTGCTGCTCTGGCGCAGTAAGCCAAATCTCCACCTGCAGTGCTGGCCTCCCTTGTGGGCTCTGGATCGAGTCCCATTTGCTCCACTTCTGATCTGGTTCTCTGCTATGGCCTGGGAAGGCAGTGGAAGATGGCCCAAGCGCTTGAGTCCCTGCACCCATGAGGGAACCCAGAGGAAGCTCCTCGCTCCTGGCTTCAGATTGGCCCCTCCCCAGCTATTTCGGCCATTTGAGAATTGAACCACTAAATGGAAGATTTTTATTTCTCTCTCTCTCTCTCTCTCTCTCTCTCTCTCTCTCTCTCAAGATTTTATTTATTTATTTGAGAGGTAGAGTTACAGACAGTGAGAGGGACAGAGAGAAAGGTCTTCCATTCATTGGTTCACTCCCCATCTAGCTGCAATGGCCGGAGCTGTGCTGATCCCAAGCCAGGAGCCAGGTGCTTCTTCCTGGTCTCCCATGTGGGTGCAGGGGCCCAAGCACTTGGGCCATCTTCTACTGCTTTCCCAGGCCAAAGCAGAGAGCTGGATTGGAAGAGGAGCAGCCGGGACTAGAACCGGCACCCATATGGGATGCTGGTGCTGCAGGCAGAGGATTAACCTACTGCGCCACAGCGCCTGCCCCAACTCTGCCTTTCAAACAAACAAATAAATCTTTAATAAAATCATAAAGAAAAGTATGGTGGGGCCAGGGAGGGGGCTCTCTTGGAGCTTTTGGGTCCACAGTTGGGTTTGGGACCCTGAGCATCACAGTATTGGAGTACTCATGAAGTGGGATAAAGGCTGGGCCCCTGGAGAATGAGGAGGCTCTGAAAGTGCTGAGATGAGATAACATTGAGAGCAGCCAATGTCAGTGGAGGAAAGAGTTGCATTCCAAGTTTGAAAAGGGGTGTATAGGGATAGTCTCCAAGGGGGGGGGGCGTGCAGTCCTTGGGTGCAGTTTCACTATAAGATGTATGGGGTGGTAGTGTGAGAGGACATGTGACTCACCACTTTGCCAAGGAAACAGAGGGCATGAAAGACCTGCCCAGGGCCCGACAGCCAGCAACCAATGCCAGTGTCAATTCACCCCCAACACATGTGGTTGGTGACCACTTCACTATGGGCTGTCGACACACTGTGCCCTGACATCCATTCTGGTGGACTGGGCTACCCCCCTGCTCCACCTGTCACCTCGAGTGTTGTCATAGGTGAATGTGGTCTGAACGGGGACACACAAGACCTCTCTCAGTGAGAGAGAGAGGTCTTTCATCAGCTAGTTTGCTTTCCAAACACCTGCAACAGCCAAGGCTGGATCAAGCTGGCTGAAGCTAGAAGCCTGGAACTCCACCTGGGTCTCCTATGTAGGTAGTAGGCGCAGTTTAATTGGAAGTCGGGTAGCGGGGATGCAAATCAGTACCGTTATGGGATGTGAGTGTCCCAAATGGTGATGTAACCCACTGCACCACCATGCCACCGCAACTATCCAGTTTTTGTTGAGCCTTCTAGTACCACAACATGGAAGAGGACAGTTTTCTCTCTGAGGCTCAGCATTTCAGGAACCTGTATGTGGATGGGGGTGGGTGGGAAGAGTGCTTACAGTTTGAGGAAGGGAGACCCTCGAGGCTCAGTAGCTCCATGGATGGGAGAGGCTTGCCTACTGGCAGGCTGTCTAAGGGCTGAGGATGGTGAGGGGTATTTCCAAGCACAGGTGGCATCAGTGCTGGAGCTAGGTCAGGGAGGGTGCTAACTGAATGGGAGGCTTAAAGATCTGGGATGGGGAATTGCTTCCAGACTGGGAGATACTCAGGCTTGGGGGATTGTGAAGGAAGGAAGGGTCCAGGGATGAATTACAGGGACTGGGGTCCCAGGATGCTGTGTGGGGGTTCACTGGGAGAGCTGACAGCAGCAGGGTCACAATTCTGGGGGCAAGCACAAGGATTGGGGCTGAGAAGTGGTGCTTACGTCACTGAAGCTGCTAGCAGGGTTGGGGATTCAGGAAGAATGTGAACAGGAGGGTGGAACCCTAGCTACTGCAATGTCTGGAGTCTCAACATACCCCTGCAGAAAATGGGAGTGATGACGTGTGTGCGGTCAAGTTGCCAAGGGAATTAAGGATGAGCCTTCCAGGGGCGGGTGCTGTAGCTGCACCCATGTGGGAGACCCGGAAAAAGCTCCTGGCTCCTGGCGTTGAATCGGCTCAGCTCCGCTGTTGTGGCCATTTTGGGAAGTGAACCAGCAAATGGAAGATTCTCTCTCTCTCTCTCTCCCTCTCTCTCTCTCTCTCTCTCTGTGTGTGTGTCTCTACCTCTCTCTGTAACTCTTTCAAATAAATAAAATATATCTTTAAACACACACACATATACATACATACACACAAAGAATGACGCTTCTGATTGCCTGCCTTATACCCAGCTAAGCTATTTGGTAGCAGTAATGGTGCTTATCTTTATTGTTTTCTAAAAATTTATTTATTCATTTGAAAGGCAAAGTGACAGAGAGGGAAGAGAGAGAGAGAGAGAGGGAGAGAACTTCCATCCATTGGTTCACTCTTCAAATGGCCAAATGGCTGCAACAGTCAGGTCTGGGCTAGGCCAAAGTCAGGATCCCAGAATTCCATCCAGATCTCCCACTTGGGTGGCAGGGACCCAAGCCCTTGGGCCATCATCTGCTGATTCCTAGGTGCATTAGCACGAAGCTAGATTGCAAGCAGAGTAGCTGGGACTCTGTTGTCAGCTGCTGCTGGTGGTGTGCCACAGTGCTGGACCTGGTGCATTAATATTAATTAATTAATATTGATTACGATCACACTGAGCTGGGCCAACTGCCCTTTTTTTGTATTTGTGAATTTAATCAAAGCCCCTCTTAGCATCTATCATTCATAAATATATACTAAGTGATCCCTTACACTTCATCTCGTTCGTGAGTCTAAATCCATCACTCCCACAGCGTCACAGAATTCATGAATTTTATCAAGCTTTTTAAAAAAAGATTTTATTTTTATTTATTTATTTGAAAGTCAGAGTTCCACAGAGGGAGAGGCACAGAGAGAGAGAGAGAGAGAGAGAGAGATCTTCCATCTGCTGGTTCACTCCCTAATTGGCCTCAATGGCTGGAGCTGCGGCGATCTGAAGACAGGAGCCAGGAGCTTCTTTCCGGTCTCCCATGTGTGTGCAGGGCCCCAAGGACTTGGCCATCTTCTACTGCTTTTCCAGGCCATAGCAGAGAGCTGGATCAGAAGTGGAGCAGCCGGGACTCGAATCGGTGCCCATATAGGATGCCAGCATTGCAGGTGGCGGCTTTACCTGCTATGCCACAGCACCAGCCCCCCAAGCTTTACTGTATTAAT